TAATGTTCTTTATAAACTGAAGAGATAAAACTTCACATACTGAAGGTCGAATTTTTTTCAGAGAGTTCAGAGACAAGTTGAAGAATTTAACACTTAAAAGACATCCTCACACTTTTAGATTTTGTAATAAAGGCTTTGCTTTTTGTGATCTGAGCAGCATTTAACAATAAGTCATTTCAACAATCCGTAGAATAGAAGGAGGTGGTGAAGGGAGCTGCAGCAGCAAATAACATTGGTATGAACACATAAGCCAAGTCTTAATAGTCATGCTGTACATCTGCATGAATACAACTGGACATCGCTGAGCAGACGGTGGCCAAACAGGCAAGTAATGAGCCAGTGTTGGTGAGTCGTGAATGACTTGAATGCTTTGTCTCTGAAAACTGTTAGAAGGGAAGTACATGCTGCCCTCCCAAGAGCAGCAGCATTAGTTACCTCACTAAGTGTCACAAAATTACACGTTTGCATCATGACAGTATTAGGGAGAGCTGGCTACTGGACTCAAAGATGTTGCCCACTCACTTGAATGAAAATTGCTTGCATGGCATTTGATGTGCAGCCCACTACTGACTGTGCATTAGTCTGCTGGCCACGCCTACAAGACGGCGCTCAGCCCACAGACTTTACATTCATGTAAATAAAAAACTCATTTTTCTACACTTTTAGACACCAACACTGATTGAAAGTCTTTATAGAAAGAGTAAAAACTGAGAGTTTTTTTTTTTTTTTTTTTAGCTGGATGTGTCCTGTCAGTGTCTGTATCATAATGGTGGTCTATGGAAATTGGATTTCCATCACAATACTGCAAGTGATCACTGAGAAAAGGCTATAAGGTTGAGTGGTGGCACCGTGTCTAGCTTTGTTATTATGTTTATGGTTCAAATGACGAAACCCTCAAGCGTCCTTTAGTAGTAAATATGCAGGAGCAAAGGAGGAAGTTAGGTGACATTACAGAGCAACAAAATCTGCATTGAAAAAAAGGTCAAGGGGCTTCAAGGCTAAACAAAAGTTATGTTCATAGAGAAGACTGCTTTTTTAAAGCATGATTACATTCACATCCAAACTTTACCCTCACATTTAATATTGTTGTTATTAACCTTAATGAATAGTCATGTAAACACAAACTGCAATGTTTCCCTAACTGTAACTTATCTAGTATTTATCTTAACCCAAACCCAACCCAAGACCTTCACCTAAACCTAAACAAGTAATCTTTGCTCCTAAACCTGTCCGACCCTTAACCATAGTGCTGTCACATCATCAAACACATTCATTCTTAAACAGACAATTAGAATACTTTTAGAAAGCTCTGCGCGATGAGGTCCTTATTCTATTTGTCATTTAATTTGGAGGACTTGTCATAATGTCTGCAAATTTGAAAGCAAAAGCTCTTTTCCCAATTTACATGTTTTTATTTATTTTTTTACTTTTATTATTTTTCTTTTTTTTTTGCACTTGCTTTTATGTCTGACAATCTGCCTGAATCCATAAAAATATAGCTGTATAATGGTGATGATGAAAGGGCCTTTACTTAGTCATATTACTATTCACTGTTATGCACCTCTAAAATACTGCAGAACTGCTTCATGGACTGTTGTTGCTGTTGGTGTTAAAATGAACTTTTAAAAAAAATTATATATATATATTAATCACAGAACTGTATGGGACCTTGGTGAGATTTTACTACAAAGTGAAGCCAAAGGGGTTTGCAGAAATGCCTTCATCACAGCAGAAGGATTTACTCTAAAAGATAACAGAGGAATCTACACCAAAGGGAAGTGTGTGCCTATGAACATTTAATAACGTTTCATAACTAGATTTCCTCAGAAGTAACTGGACCATTTCATTGTTTTAAACCAATTTATAGAAGATGAATACCATTTCCCCGTGACCTTGGGCCACTGTGGACTCGTACACGTCCCCCCCTGACTTACTACCTCACCTGCCATGACTGATCTGCCTTGTTTTACTGTGGCAGTCTGGTTTGAATTTACTAGTAGCCTGTTAGGGGACACACTGTTCTGGTTGATGCCTTGACACTGAGGAAGAGAGACCATCTATCCTGCAGCATTCCTAATCTAAACACAAGTATTAAAAACCCCTTTAGCAAGGTTCACTGTCAGCCCTCATCACATCCAACTGAAGAAGGGGCCGGGAGAGGGAATTAGCTTAAGAAAAAGAATTGACACATGTCCGATACATCTACAGAGGCAGAGGACAGTTGGAAGTGAAGCAAAATGAACTGCACTCATCAGTGGGTATCCACCATATGCACACTGTATTGTAGTTTTTAAGTGCCGTTTCGATCCGTTGACCATGTGTGTCCACGTGAAGTATCAACATACCCCTAATATGTGCACATGCGTCATGCTTACAAAGCAGTGGGCAGCTCAATGGGCCATGTGAAGGCAGACAGAATGAAATTAACTGTTAATGGCCTCGTTCTGATGGATGAATTGAGAGTCTGCATGGCATGCCATCTAATCCTTTCTGGATGAAAAAGAAATCCAATTAATGTGTTGACCTTGCTATCTAAATATGCCCTTGTATGGCAGGAGGATTCTGTGCGTTGTAAACATTGGTGCTGCAGTCTGAGTTTTTTATGCCACAACAACAAAAATCCCATTAAAACTTAAAAAGGTTTATATAAATCATGAGTGTTGTAGGCAGAGTACACATGTACTGATATAACTCTTGATGCAATTGCGTCTTGGCGTTGCGTTTGTGTCTCAACTCTGTTGGCAATATCATACAGTGAATAATCATTTGAATGCCTGCCACGCAGAGCAGCTTCCAAATAAACCATGGGAGCCTCTCCTTCTCCTGATTCTATTGTGAACTTGAACAAGATGACCTTGTATGATTTATGTATTAGACACCCTGAGTGCCAGCGTGTATTAAGAGGAAAATATTGTACTTCTCTTTGCATTTCAGTTCCACTGCTGCTCTGATTTGCCTCTTTATCTCTCGGCTTTTTTTTTTTTAGCAGTAAAACGCACAACTGAAGGTTGAAAAATCATTTCCTTTAATAAAAGCAGCAATAAAGAAATGAAAATAGACACTTGAGGAAAAGCAAAGGTCCAACATAAAAAACATAAAAGCACAGAAGTGAGGTTAGCTTTAGCATTAACTAGATTAAAGGAGCAGGGTCAAACACTTTTTTTCTTTTGGAATGTGAAACTGAATATAAAACTATTTTAATTCAATGCTGCTCATCTATACCACTTGACTTACATAACAATGCAGCATACATTGGGTGTGTTTTTAATGTACAATTCCAAAGAAATATTAGTTATAGAAATCTAAATAATGTGATGACATTAAAAAAAAGATCACCATAATACAAATATTCAAGTAAAACACCAGCCCCAAGAATATTTATGCAACTTCAGCCTCTGTTGGTGTCTCTTTATCGCACATTTTTTAAGTTGTATGGAGTATTTCTTCAGCATCAAAGCGAAGAATAGCAAGCCCACAGCAAATTTGTGCACATTTATACTTGAAATAAGCTGTTAAAAATCTTTGTGTCAGTCTTGTTTCTTTGAACTTATAGATCTCCGCGGGCTTGTGGCATCTTTGTGCCAAGCAATATCTCCATATGTCAGGCTGAGTTGCGCTATAGTAAGATGATGGTGTTAGCATGATTCTTGCTTCCCCTGTGGATGAGTTTCTGCAGAATAGTTTTACATTGTTAGCAAGCCCTTGAGTCAAGATTCTCTTTGCTTATATAGGATTGGTACTTTAATGCCAGTGTTATCTTTGAATATCCAAGCGTTACAAATGCAAATTCAGTCAGTGTAGTTTTACAAACATGCTAATTCGTATATTGTTTCAAGTAGTGAGGCATGTGATATTCTTTTTTCTTGTTTTTTCTACAATATGAGCACATTTATGTTCAACATGATGCATCACGGCAAAGCCCACAAACCTTGAAGCCCCTCTTTTTTGAAACTGTACTTTTCACCTGAGGATATGTGCTTGTGAAGTTTTGGAGCTGACTGCCAAATTACAATGTTTTGATTGAAAATGTTTGTCTGCTGCCAAATGCATTAACATATTGCTATTTTAAGCCCTGAGCACACCTAAATTTCGCTGTCATCCATTATGCTTGACGGTGAAGTGGAGATTTTGCTCCTAGCCCTATAGCTGTGCCTCTCTTCAGAAAAATACATGAATACGGAAGAGAAAGAGAGACAGAGATCAGCCTGAGCAAATGTCAGAACAAAGCAGAGAATCCTGAATGTTACACACACACAGCGATATGCAAATTACTCTTCTTGTGTCTATGTACACAAGTGTATTCATGTGTGTATACATGTGTGTACCCTAAGACGGCGAAGAGCTTCTATGCAACAGTGCAAGGTTTTTGCTGCTCACTTTCATACGATTGTGCGTGGGTGTGTATTTGCATGCACGCAGACTGAGCTTATGCTGCATCTCCCTCTGGATGCTGCAGATTTATGACGTGCATGTGCGTGTGTATAAGTCATGTTGTGGGGACCTACATCTGTTTACACTGTCACATTATGGGGACGTGGCTTCGTATGGGGACAAAAAGTAAGTCCCCATAGTATAAATCATTCAATTTTAAAGTTATGGTGAGGTTACGTTTAGTTTAAGGTTAGAGTAAGGGTTTGTTTTAGGCAATTAGTAGTTATTGTTAGAAATTAATTTAAGTCAATGGAATGTCCTTTGAAGTGACGCAAATAGAACTGTGTGTGTTTGTGTGTGTGCATGCATGTAGGAGTGTGTGGTGTTGTGTCGCTTTGCAAATTAGAAAGACATGTCGCTGGGTGAAATCCCATTAGGGTTTACTGTCAGCATGCAGCGGTGTTGACATGATATGCATGTTATTCTAATTTGGTAGTCAAAAACAGATTATCACTGGGATATTTCTCAGGAGAATTCCCTGTTTTAAAGTCACCCTGATTTTACATCCTCATCTCCTGATACTGTCTTGTAATTATTTCCACTGTGTCTGTCTTTTCTCTGCTCTGCAGGAGAGAGAGCTGATGCCAGAGGAGTTAGATGGTAAGATGCTGTTGATGGTGTAATCACGGTGAAAGCACATGACAAATTACTAGTCAATGCAGAGTTTTATCAATCGCATTGATGTTTTCTCCGGTTAAGCTCACTCTTCTTCATGATTCCTGTAAGAGATTGAAAATGTGTCAGACTGCTTTGATCTGTTGTTTGCCAATGACTCAGAGCAACAAAATCAATTAAAACTACATAACTTTCTGTACTTGAGTGCTGGCAGTAGTTTTGTTTGTTGGCTTCAACAACTTACAGGAAAGTTAAAACTTGCAACTATTAGAATCTGCACAGACTGTGTTTGTGTATGTGTGTTTGACTCTTGGGAAAAATATTTTACCCTACTTTACGGTTTGTTGAAACTGATGCAAATTGTTTGTGCGTCTGTCAGAGCTGCAAGTGGCCTTTAAGGAATTTGACTATGATGCGGATGGCTTCATCCATTACAAAGACATTGCAGACTGCATGAGGACCATGGGCTACATGCCCACAGAGATGGAGCTTATTGAGATCATTCAGCAAATCAAGATGAAATGTAAGTATTTATCTGTCTGGCAGTGTGTGTGTGTGTGTGTGTGTGTGTGTGTGTGTGTGTGGTTTTCATTTCCTCCTCAGGGCTTAAAGCACGTGTACATGATTGATGGGACTTTCTGAAGTGAGCAGGTGTGGATGTGTGAGTAATGTGTCTGTGTGGTGCACAATCTCATGTGCTTGTGTTCTTCCCTATGAGTCCTTGAGGATCTGATGTTTGTCTTTGGACCTGGGAACATTCAAGATGTTTTAGCCGTCTGATTAATTGCCCTCACGCTGCAGGTGCAGGGACATACGAGCATTAGCCTCCATGTAGAAGTGTGTGTTTATACCTAACATTTGTCTCTCCACTCCTAATGTTGTGTTTGCTTTCTTTCATGAATGATCAAGTATAGATATGTGTGTGGTTAGTGTCCAAACTTTGGGGTGACTCATCACTGCAATCGAATTCTGGATTTTTGCCATAAACCTGGAGGATTAGTTCTTGTAACACCTCCGTAGTGTCAGAGCAAGGCCTCCAAATCTGAACAAAGTTTCTGGCAAGACTTTACATAACCCTTCAGTGGACCAACATTACTTAGATACATGAAGTGTTCTGCGTGTGGAACGTTTGTAAAATATTCTAATTAAGGATGTTTCATTGTTTTAATTTTGCCTGTGGCTTAGGTGGTGTTGTGAGTTGTCCACAAATGATAAGGTTAGTGGTTTGATCGCAGTCCCCTCCATGTGCCAAGGTGTCCTTGGAAGAGAAATCTCTTTGTAGAACCTAGTTATGGTAAAAGGCACAATCTACTTGCAGACCATTTACCATTGTTATACAAATATATAATCATTAGATTAATTTGAATTTTAATGCATGTGTGCAGTTGCATTTCAAATGAAAATTTTGAGATTAATTTATTGTAATGAGGGATGTTTCCTTATAAACAGCAGAGCAGATTTTTTTTGCGATTTATAAGATTCGATCCCTGTCTGCCAGTATTACTAACTACAAATAACTAATTTACAATATAATATGATATTTAATATTCATCATATTTAACCTTGTGTGCTTTTGCATTTACATACAATATCAATTGTGCCAGTGGTATACCCACACTTCATCTGAACTGTTTCTTCTAAAAGAAGCACACTGATGCTGCAAATAAAAGTTGCAGTTATATACAATAAAGTGCACCATTGCTTAATTTGACTACGTTCACATTCTTCGTGTGGTTTGGCCAGTAACTTATGATAACTAATGCCAACTAATGTTGGCAAACTTCACTTAGATATTACTGTGTATCTGATGTTACTGAGTCTGGTCACTAAGGACCATTCTCTATTTATTGCTGCTACTACACCACATTTAACATTTACAGTTTCCTGTAATTATCAACACACCATCTGTGCATCCCAACTCCCTTAACCACACTCCTGCTTTCTCACTTGTGTCTTTTCTTCCCACTAAAAACATATGAGAGACACAAGAAAAAGATACAAAGGGAGATCCAAGGCAACGTCCAGCTAGATTAAGTCTAAGACTGATTTCAGAGCTCTGTCGGAACTTTTGTTGGTTTAGATTTTCTATTTGCCCATGTATGCACTGACGATACATTTTCTTTTGAACAAAATTTGTTCTCCATCTTAGAACTTGTTTCAGTACAGCCAGTCACATCGGGTGACTGGTACACTACACTCACAGTCAGACAGCAGCCCGATACACTACACAAGAGCCACAGACTCTGACAAATAATCCACAGGAGCTGTCTTAAAAAGTGAAAAGTGATCTGCTCATGTCAGCCAGAAATGATGTTTTTTTTTTGTATATGTATATATTATACATCACGTTAGTCTATGTAAATGCTGTTGGGGTTCTTGTACTCCAACACCACTGCTTACAGATCAAGAACAGCCTCTTCTTCACTGTTGGTGAACAGAGCCGGAGCTCAGCCTGTCAGCTGCTGTCAATCAAACAGACACCAAAACCCACATTTTAAAAAAGTGCACTTATAATACATTACCCAAAACCTTGCTTTCAACCTGTCACAAATAAAAATAAATTAAATAAAACAAACATTAAAAACACATTCTAATTATTTTTTCCTGCAAAATTAAAAAAAACAAAAAAATAGTTAGGATTTCATTTAGACAGAAATCACTAAAGTGTGGTACCTAGTATGGAACATTGCAGACTGCTTTGATTTTACTTGCTCAGTTTTCGACTGAAGAAGGTTACAATGTTGATAAGACGCTCTATGGATTATCCGGGGTAATAGGGACAATGTTTTTGGAAGTGTTGTTGCTGTAGGTCTTTATTTAGTGTTGTTAACACTATGAAAAAAATGAAAAATTAAACAAAACACTGCTTGACACATATTACATAAGTAATTTTTTAAAATGTATTTTGTAACTGACCAAATCAGACCTTTCACCAGATGTGTGTAATGCACATGGTTGATTTTTATTTTGTCTGAGAAGCTTTTGTATGTCTAAGTGGTCGATTTGAAAAGGAGCCTTTACTCAGGATTAATTCACAGATGCAAGTGTGTCTTAGTATTGAGCCTCCAGGAAAATAGCACTGATACTGAGCAAAATACTGGACTTCAAATCCACAGCGTAACAAATCCGCTTCATCATGCTGAATACAGTAAGACTGTTATTCTGCTGTGTTCCTCTGGGACCAGAGTGCAGCTGGTTTCCTGTCTCGCCAGCTAGTTAATTAGATTCACCTGGTGTCCCAGGTGTAAATTATTTCCTGATTAGACAGTTACAAGATGGATCTTGAAATCCAGGATTGAGAGAGTGATGACTCCACACTTCAAAGGCTAGTCTCCATCGGATGTGCACGATTGCACAAAGTGACAGAACTCAAACTTTTGTGGCACAAACAACTATTGGTCAAGTCTAGAGAACTTTTTTAAGTCAACATCTTTGAAAATACCAAATGCACCAATAAAAATTACATCAAAACAATCCTCGTGGGCACCTAGTGTCCCATGTTCAGGGGCTATAGTCCCTGACACAGAGGTCATAGGGTCACTGCCCTTTCCTGCAGGTCCTTCCCCCATTCTTCTCCCCCATTTTCTTGTCTCAATCTCGACTTTCATATCGAATAAAGGCAAAAAGGCCAAAAAAATAATTTAAAAAAAACAACAACAACAACAAAAAACCCAATTCTTATTAGGGGCACCCTGGTAGCTCAAACTGGATAAGACAGAACCCCACATACAGGGGCTATCGTCCCTGACGTGGATTCAACTTCCGCCCACGGCCATTTGCTGCAGGTCTTTCCTCCATTCTTCTCCCGACTTTCCTGTCTGTCTTTCACTGTACTATCAATGAAGGTGAAAAAAGCCTGTTAAAGAAAATTATTTTTTAAAAACAATCCTTATTAGTCTGACTGACCGGATGTAGGATGCAGGTATGAACCAGCCACTGGCCGATCATTTGACTCGGCATTCTCTTGCCCTTCCACTATCTGTGTGTTACTATTTTCTTCAGTACAGGAAACAACAACAACCTCCAAGCAGCAACCTACTACACTAAGCATTTTAAGTTTTCGTTAGGATTTGGATTGTGCAGTAAGGCAGTCCTGTTATTGTTTGTCAGCGAATTATCTATTTTAATCACAGTGCTCGTCTCCCTGCATGCAAAACAATTCTACCCGCCACTATTTTGAGTAAACACCAAAGCTGCATACTTGACTAAGCCCCGTTCATGACGACTGAATTTTCTCAAAGAAATACAAACAAGTCAGAGTGTTTTTCCCCCTATAGCAGAATTCTAGGGTGGTGAATCCAGACCATTAACTTCTACAGAATGGTCTGGTAATGTAAGACTAATCCCCAAAGAACTTCATGTTAAAATGAACTTTACAGCAGAAATAAACATGTCAACAGTTAATTCATCATCTTCTTCTGCTTCATTCTGTTCAAAGTACTCCATAGAATCCATCTCAGTGAAGTTAGACTATGAAAGATTTATCCAAACCTCTAAGATATTTGTGACAGATGCTCTCAGGCACCAGCAGGGTTGACCCATATGTTTTGGTCTTGCCCGAGATTGGTGAAGTACTGGAGGTCTTTTTTTGATCTTACGTCGCTGATACTGGATCTGACTGTGCACCCGTCGCCTCAGATTGCTATCTTTGGTCTCCCTGAGGAAGGGGTTAGAAAGACTGCAAAGCAAAAGTAATCTCCTTTGCTTCTTTTATTGCCAGTCATCAAAATTACCTGTTTTGGAAAAATAGTTCACCACAGTTTCACAAGCTGATTATTTGTATTATCAGTTGTTGTTTTATAGGTGTGTGTGTGTGTGTGTGTGTGTGTGTTCAGTAAATTGTTCAGTAAACCTGTGTGAGGGTTTATTTATCTTTATGTGGGAAAAATGTGTAAAATGACTCATAGTTTAATTGCGACTGCCGCTTGATGTGATAATGCAATCAGAAAAAGTGTGACTTGGATTTGAAGCGTTGTACATCAAATTTTACATTATAAAAGGTACAAAAAGACACATGATATATGTAGGAATACATTTTTATATCAGTACCTGAAAGGCATCTTTCAGAAAAATATTGAGCAAATCAGGTTTCACTAGATGTTATTTTTTTATATGTTTCATATCGTATATTATGACGCATATTTTAGTGATGATTCGGTTTGATCCCTAAGCTACTATGGGGTTTAGACATCCCTAGTTTATTCCCTGCACCATGATCCCTAGTTTGAAATTCAGTCTCCTTTTCAAAAACAACTATCACACTATCAATTAAAAATAATCTCCCAAGACTTTTGGCAGCATTTTTCAACTCTGTGATTATAGACTGACCCACTTAAGGCACAGAAATTCTTCAAGGCAGTTCGAGGAATCCCCTCAGACTGCTGCTCTACAAGGGTAAAGTCAGTCAGCCAAAAAAAAAAAATTTTACCTTGAGGCAAGTATGAAAATTCTGTGCTAACTCAGAAAATAAGAAAATGCCAGAAGTAGTCTTTTATTTCCTACAGCTGCTGCTGTAACTAGATGACAGGTTCGGCTCATAGTTTCATGATTCAGCACCATTTAGAATACTTTCTATCCAAGCTGTAGTTTGATTCTCTCTCCTCAACAGCCACGAGACTCAGAGCACTGATTAAATTTTGGAACCACAAAATGACCGCATGGCTTTATTGAAGTAGTCTTTCACTCCCACCAAGGCCCACATAATGAAAACAGTCTGAGCCTATTGGTATACGCTATCAAATGAGCCTGTCTTTTGTCAAACTAATAACATGAGCCATCCCATTGTATCAGTCTGTTTTGATAACTACAATGGAGATCAAACAAAACAAACTAGTTCTAACTGGGTTGAAGGCAGCACAATGAGCACGCTGCTGAATACACTGATATAATAGCATCTATTCACTGAGGATATTCATGAAGTTCTCACTTTGACTTTTATTTATACGCTTAAATAAAAAAGCTCAGATAAATGATACTTCAGTAAATATGCGCTGTAGCTACCTGATAGCGTCCTATTAAGTATATGACTAAAACATTGTATTTTACATCAACCTGGTGCTGACGGTGGGTTTCAGTAAAAGGGCTGGAAAGCACACATGTATTAATGATGGCTGCAGCAGGCGAGGTGCTGCTTTTGTTCATGCCTGCTCACTATCATGGCTTACTGGGACACTTAATGGAACTGAGTGAACTATCACCTGTGCTTTCGCTGCTCTAACAAGTCAGAGGATCCGCTGTGAAAGAGGTCTATTGTGGATTAAAAAAACTAGAAAAATGAGCTTTGGGATGGATTGGAGTAATGTAGGGGTATCTACTGCGCTGTTAAACTACTAAAACAACTAAAGTTATTTGAAGTTTTGGAATTTTCGAGGTGAAACCTGTTGTTATGTCTCAAATATGCTAGAAAGATTTACCCTTATCTGGGCTGAGTACTTACACAACTTTTATAGTTCCGAGCATAGCATGTAATGATGGGTGTTATTGCATCATTAAATATGCAAAACTTTAAACTGTAAAACAATTCAAACAGATGAGTTAAATAAATCTTCACTCTCCTGCAATTGAGAAACTGAGAAATTAAGCTGTAATATGTTAATTACTGCTGTAAAATTGGACATTTTAGGTCTGTTGGGATTGACTCGCGTTTGGAGCCAACCTGGTCTGCAAGGTGGTGCAGTTGGTAGCACTGTTGCCTCGCAGCAAGAAGGTTGCCGGTGGGCGTCTCGGTGGGGGCACCGGAATCTTTCTGCGTGGAGTTTTCATGTTCTCCCCGTGCAGCGTGGGTTCTCTCTGGGTTCTCCGGCTTCTTCCCACACAGTCCAAAAACATGTTGAGGTTAATTGGTGATTCTAAATTTTCCGTAGGTGTGAATGTCAGTGTGCTTGGTTGTCTGTCTCTAAGTGTGGCCCTGTGATAGACTGGCGACCTGTCCAGGGTGTCCCCTGCCTTCACCCTAAGTCGGCTGGGATAGGCTCCAGCCCCCCCGCGACCCTAGTGAGGATTAAGCGGCGTATAGATAATGGATGGATGGATGGAGCCAACCTTAAGTGGCCATTCAAGGAACTGCAATTTTTGGCACTTCCTCATTGGCTTCATTTTTTCGGCACCACAGGTTGTTGTTTGGTCAGAGGCCAAGATGTTGAGCAGAGCAGAAAACTGGAGTGTGTTATTGCTGGTCAGGAGAAGGAAATTTTGAGTCTGGATGGGGCGAAATGTATTTTTAGAGACAATCCTCCTTCTGTCATTGGCAAATTGTGCTGAAGCTGAGTCGAGTCAACAACATCCTGCTGGCTACCCTGAAAAAAACAAAACAACTCATGTCTATTTTGTTAGGGAACTAACAATACAATGCAATATTACTATCTTGAAACATCCTGTCAGAGTTTCAGATGTGCAGCACCTTCTCATTCAGGATCAGTGTGCAGACGACTACTAGGTCTCCAGCTGCTGGTAAAGAGGAGACAGGGAATTTGCATTCTTCATTAGGAAGTGGAGGTGAACCTGGGGCCACACTTCCAGTCAATCGCAATAGTCATTCATGAATTATTCATATTTTTACACAGATCGTTTTCCAAAACAGTCTGCTGGAGGACAGGCCTGTTTGGGAATCTGGGCTGCAAGGAAACAAAACTTTGAAGAATTTTTAACTGTTAGTAAATAGAATGTCACAGAAATATTTTTAATTTTAAAAATGTGATAACATTATATAAAAATCTAAAAATTAATCAATTATTTAATTTTTAAAAAGAGTAATACCAGACTTTTTAAGGTGGATAGTGCTTGAAACACACTAAAATGTTGTTGGAGCTTTTTCAAAAAGGGGAAGTAGTGAAAATCTGGCACGTTAAACGTTCTCATTTTTTTTTAAATGAGGATAACAGGACAGTCTTTTAGAAGTCTGTCCTGAAAGACATTCATAGCTATGCACAAAGGCGGAAATAGTTGTGTAAAGAATGGGGGCAAAACACAGAATAGTGGAATTCAAACCTTGCTTACTTGTTTATCTCCTCACGTATGGCCAGTCACAACATAAAGTAGGCATTCGAATTAAATTGTTGCACGCATGTCCCCCATTCTGACCTTCTGATTAGTGTAGGGGGAAAGGTAAGATGCTGTTCAACCATATGCATTTCAGAGGGGCATCCCAATGCCTTTATACATTATCCTACCAACGCATATGTAATACTACTTCTGCTTACAGATTAATGTATGCAAATAAAATAACCAATAATAATTCAGGTCCATTTTGCATAACATTTACTTGTGATGGGAATATTCTGTAGCTAATACATACTTCCATACTTTTTCTTAATTAAATAGTTGAATTACAAAAATAAATTACGACATGTAGTCTAATGTGATGACAGTAATGTAAAGGGCAGAGTTGCAGTGAAAAAATCCTGTATCATTTGGCAGACAAAGAGCCAGATATTTTCTTCGGGCATTGGTAGAGAACAAAACAGAGCTCAAAGGAGTGTAAAGTTACAGCTGCTAAGTCATTAAAAAAACCCTAAAGATTCCAAATTAATTCTAATGTAGTGACAAAAACAACATCAACTGAAGCAAGTTTCAGTGTCCGTAAAATCTTTCATCATTATTACTGGGAAGATAACTTGCTAGAACACCAAAATATATGTGCCAGTATCCTCTATGTGCTGTGTAGACTCTCCAGGGAGGCACAGACGTCACTGTTTGGTAGTAACCATATGCATCTGTGTGACAGCATATGAGTGTTTTTACTCTGTGTTTCTGCAGGGGGTGGTCACGTAGACTTTGATGATTTCTGCGAGCTAATGGGGCCGAGGATGCTCGCTGAGACGGCTCATATGGTTGGACTGAAGGAGCTCCGCTGTGCCTTCAAACAGGTAAGAGGTTTCCCAGCTAGTAACTGAAGAAGTATCACTTCAAGCAAGTGATACAGCCTGGTACTGACAGTACTTTAAAGTGTGAAACAGGAATTTACTTTAGTGAGTGCCAAGAGTATATGGCTTGTAAACAAGTCTGAGAGAAGAGGGCTAGCTGGCTATGAATACAGAAGAAAGAAAAAAATGTTTACATCAATAGTGTTTTCATGCAGCTCAGTTGCTGCTGTCCACATTTCTTTGTCTCACCTGTTAATTTGCGCTCACTCGAATTGCCAGTTGATTCGAAATGTTGTGATGCTTCATTGAGGAAATGTTTATTGAGTTGCTTTCTTTGGCATCAATACAGAGGCAGATAGATAAGAGCTCAAGGCCCTGTTGTATCGTTGTCTCTTTACCAAGCAAAATAAATGAGGTGGTTTTATTTTTTTATGAGCACAGCTTCACACACCTGGGCTCATCCCTGTAACACAATACAGCGTGACAGGTTTTTAATGGTTACTGCAAAACAGACAAACACTGACAATGTGCTTATAATGATTATAACTGAGAAAATGTCAGAGTATGTGGTCCTGAGATTCATTTATCTGTATTAGAAATTTAACTTCATTTATTTAATTTGTTTACCCTTTTTTTCTCTTGTTAAAAGCAAAGGGGGGGGGGGAATTGGAAATCAGCAATATTTATGTTCTTAAGGTATTTACAAGCTATAGAATGCAAGATGTGCATTCGACATGAAAATACACACAAACACACAGCTATAGCTCTCAAAATGCACTTTGGAGCTCTAAAGGAAACTGTGTAAGTGAATTAACATGCAACTGTTTCCTGATCATCTGCCACTGAATCTTCTTCGTCGCATGCATTATCGCCACTGTTGTTAAAAGCTACACGCTCACTTGTTCTGATGTTTGAATCCATTTGTGGAGCATAATGAACTCGTTCTTTCCTGTACTACTTCAGAACACAAAGTTCTGCAACTTGAGAGCATAGTTTACTCTGTGAATAAATAGGAATTCATTTTCAACTCATTTCAACTCCGAGTCACTTGAAAAGTCTTTCTCACTTATGCACTAACACCTTATGAGTCAGCATGCATCCATCTGCAGACTCAAGCTGTTTTCAGACCTCATGCAGACGCTCTGTACCTACATGCTGTAAAAACAAAACTCAATTTTCACTTTTATGCTAAATGTTTTTATTTCTCCTTCTTCTACTCATTACATTGTGCATTGCACTGTATTCAGTCTCACTTTCTTCAGTATCCCAGAAACATGTGATCTTGCTCTTCCCCTCTTTCTTACCAGTGTCACCTTTGACTCTCTTTGATCTATTTATTTGTCTCTCGTTGCTCACTACATGCTTGGGTCCCCACCTCCTTGCTCTTCACTAACCCAACACGTTGCAGTTTGACTGTGATGGTGATGGAAAGATCACATTTGATGAGCTGAAGGAGGGCATGAAGACCCTCCTCGGGGAGAAACTGAAGAAAGGCGAGCTGGAGGAGATCCTTGGCGACATTGACCTCAACAAAGATGGCAACATTGACTTTGATGGTGAGCAGTTGGGGACTTGAGGGAAGAATGTGTGAGAGAGGGTAGACTCTAGGTAAAAAAAAAAAAAAAAAAAACAAGTAGTCATGAAACACTAGATGAGTGCACAACAATGATTCCCAGTCAAGGGTACTTGTACTACGTGCTGTTGCCGGGGGTATGTATAAAGGGATCATTTATCAAATACAACTTGTGACTTTTTAAATTAATATCCATGTACTTGTGTTGAACAGCAAACAACCAAAGACAATTATAAACTGATGTGATGCTTATCTTTAGTAAATTTAAAATAAACAGTATGAAGCCCAACCTTATTCAGCTGTCAACGTTTTGCTGCTGAGCATGCAAGCAAATAAATCAAAAATAGTGAGCAAACAGTATTATTAAAAACAATTGTTTGACATAGTTCCTGTAGCTATAAGTAATGAATAAGCTAAAAGTATGGATAAATACAAAGCCAGCTCAACATAGTGCCTACAGAAAAGTGAAAACAGATTTCTAAAAACTTACACCAGTTAACTAAAGTATAAAATGTAAAATAAGTGATAGCACAAGTATTCACTCCCCTTCAAAGTGAAAATGTAACGCAGGTGCAGTCACTTGGTGCTAGAAGTCACATAGTTAATAAAATGGAGATCATCTGTAGTGAATGTGTCCCAGGTGACTGTAATATAAAGACACCTGTGTCTGGAATGTACAGTCACTGTTGAATCAGTACTCCTGGCTATAACTACACTATGTGGACAAAAGGACACGCCACGCAACTCTATGACAAGGTTATTGAAAAGCATCAGTCAGGGGATGGATGCATGAAAGTTTCCAACTCACTGAATATCCCTTGTTAAATCTGTCATTAAGAAATGGAAG